GGCTACGTAACACACGGGGGATCTCTAGCATTTGAATACGCTATCTGGTGGCTAAATTCAAAATTACAGTACATAGGTCGAATTTTGCTATGCCACGTCCCGTGCCAGAGATCCCAATAGAATACACTCACACATTGTTTATAAAATTGAGTATTATAGTATTGAGAATGTATGTATATTTAATTAATTAATATTATTGTTTATATTGAATGATTATAGAATAATTATTAATAATAAATGAGGGTACTATTTAATAGGTTTGAGATAAGCTACCTTTGAATTAACTTGATTTAACTTGATTTAATTTGATTTATGTGAATACAAATACAGTGTGATTGTACACTGTGAATTTAAATGTATATGTATGTAAATGTGTGTGTATGTGTTTTCTAATAAATTTCATCGGAATTGTAAAGAGAGGTACGCCTTTGGGGCCTAAGATTAAATGCCGATTTTGTAATCGTGCTTTTGTACGATTGCTCGAGTTGGTTGAGTTGGTTGGTTGGTTGGTTGAGTTGGTAGGTTGCCTTGGTGGTAGATCCTGTGAAGTAGATCTTATGATGTAATTTCAGGGCTGGGCCCTTCTTTAAACATCTCTGCTTTGCTCTTTTTTTCTTCTTATTTATTTCTTTTTATTCTTTTATGAAATACGAGAATTTTATGGTAATCGATAGGTTGATTCCACTGTATTTACATTTTTATATTCCATCATTTACCTTGCTCTTTTATTCTTTTAATGTTTTTTTTTTTTACACACACTTACACACACACATGAGTAGATATACCTTTTCTTATCTTGATATTAATTTATTTTTCAAGGATATTAAATAATAAAAAAAAAAAGAATATAAAGAAATAAATGATAGTAATTTGTTGTAAATTGAACGTAATTGACAGATGTTAAATGATCCAAATTGTAATAAGAAAAATAATTTATATATAACGTTGTAATCATGTTAAAAAAAAAAAAAGTTATTAACGTTTAATGGGAAATTTCTTGTCTTTTTATTTTTTTTTTTTTTTCATTTTAATGGATGAATGAATTACGAAATTGTTAATGCAATGGAAATAAATGGAAGGATGATAGTTAGATGAGTAGAATTTGAAGAATTGAGAATCACTGAACAAACGTTTCGCCATGAGACGGCGGGAGTCGAGTAGCTGGTAAAAAAGGAGTCAGCCTGTGCAAGTCTTTGAGGGGTTCGAATTTCCTTCAGTCGGCGGCTAAGGAACATTTGGCTTTCTCATAAATACCCAGTTGAAACGATGTAGATTTTTATAAAAACGTCATCATCATTCTTATCATATTCACTTAATTCACTATTCACTGTTCTATTAATAATTTGTTGTTCAAAAGAAAATACAATAATTCAATTCATATTGTTTATTTTAAATATTATTATTTTTGTAGTGTAAGAATGCATCAGACTAAGTCGAATGATTTGATTTTTCATTTAATTAATTTATTACTGGATTTAACACAAATGATATAATAATAATAATATTTAATATCAAATATGAAATACCCATATAGGTTTGATCCTAATGTAAAATTTCGTACCGTTTTTCTATAAAAAAAAAAAAAAAAAATTACATTTCGAGGCACGAACTATACCGCTAAATGTATTTCACATGCAAGTCGTGAGGAATGTCGGCCGATGTCCCGGACAATGACGAACGTGACGCCAATGGAAGATGTAGCCTCGTAAAGGCCGATTCATTGTCACTTTTGAATAATCCGATTAAGTTTTGTCCGAATAACGGATAATTTTTTTTTCACAATCTAATAATTATCCTATAATCTATAATCCCAGCCTTTTTCAATTTTTCTACAAATTTTTCAAAAGCATTCAAAGTAAAAAAGAAACAAATTTGTATAGTTGTATAATTGCCCAAAATTTTCATTTGGGGACCTATGGTGTCTAATAAAACATCCCTGTATAAAATATAATAAATGTGTAAATATAATTGTAGAATTATTCTATTATTTAAGGTTATTTAAGTACTGTAAGTATTGTCATTTGTTCAGTAGATGGCGTTGTATTACAATTCCATTATTTCAGGTTTTTTTTTCAGAGTCAGACATGACATAATCTAACCTAACCTTCTTTTATATATTTTTTACACATTTATTGTATTACCATTTAATATTATGAATACAAATTAATGAAATAAAATAAAATAAAATACTAATTGAAAATTGCAGATTATATTCGACTATTAACGTGAAAGGAAAAAAACTTTTTCAGATATGAACGAAATGACATTGCATGGATGTTTGACTGTTGCTGATGCTGCTGTGCTGTGCTGTGCTGTTGCATCTCTGAACCGAAAGCAACAACCTGCTATCATCTTTCTCTTTCTTTCATTCTTTCTTTCTTTCTTTCTTTCCTTTTTATCCTTTCTCTTTCTATCTTTTGTTGGTTTTATAGTAAGTTCGCCAACGCGTTCGGAAAACGCGTCCCACGATTCGTTCAACCCTCCGTCAAGTTTCTTTCTTTATTTATTTTATTTAAACACGTGGTTATGCATTTTTAGTATCAATATCGATTTCGTTTTTACGACACACACACACACATATCCGAATAATCCTATTCTACAAATTTCTAAGCTTCTAAACACATTTTTGAAACTTTTTTTTTTCCAAATTTCACGCTTCACCTGCAGGTAATTTGTATTTTCAATATGCACGTTGGTCATTGATTTCATTTCATTTCAATATTTTCTTTCTTTTTTTTCTTCTTCTTCTTTTGTTGGAATTAAAAAATTTCTATTTTTATGAATCATTTTATTGATTTGGTTGGTTCGTTTCAAAAACAAATTACGTGAATTGATATTTATTGAAAATGACAATTAATTCGAAATTTTGTGCAAATTGATTGAAACGAGAAGGTGGTAGGTGGTGTTTCACCTTCACATACATACACCCTCGATATATATATATTATAATAGTTTAATGCACACGTGTGTTGCGCTTTAATGCATCCTCCGATCGAATAAACTGCATTCCATCGCGCTAGCTCGAAAACGGTGTGGTTGCTTTGAACAGAACTTGCTTGCTTGCTTGCTTGGCTTGCAAAGAAAGAGAGAGAAAGAGAGAAAGAGAGAGAGAGAGAGAACCCTATGAGAGATGAATTCATAAGAAGAGAGAAAAAAAAATGGGAAGAAAAGGAGGAAGAGGAATGTTTAGAAATTCGCTGGACCGTTTACTGCTACGTTTAGCCGTTAATCGATAGAATTACAATTAACGAGCGGAAACCGGAACCGGTCGTTCCGGACAACTTTTACAATGAATATCTTGTTAAATAAATCTTGAAATTTTATTTAGATAAATACAAATTCCTATAATCAGGAATACTTCTTAAAATAGGTCAAAAGTTTTGTTTTTTTTTTTTCTTTTCTTTGAAATGAACCGACAAGTAGCAAGAGAACTAAAAATATATTTAAATTATTACTTTAAAAATATTTTCGACAATTTTAATTTTAATTAATCAAGTTTAGTATTAGAAAATAAAAACCTTAGGAAGGTTTTGAAATGATTTATATTAATTTCTTGGTTTTTTTTGGTTTAATTATATTGATCAACTTTTGACCCACTCTCCCCTCCTTCCTCCACTCCTTGAGTTTTTGTAAATTTTTGGTTTCGTTTTGTATTTTGAAATAGATTATTTTTTTTTTGTTGGAAAGGGGGGGGTGGGAATTTATTTGAAATGATTTGAGGTAGAAGAGAAAAAAAGGGACGAAATCTAATAAGTCATAGTTTATTATCGACGTTAGAAACGATATAGATTAGCAAGAGATCGGTATGCTTGGAATCTGGATGTACGACGGGTTATTACCGATGATACACGAGTCACTATATCTTTCTCTTTCTCTCTCTCTCATTCATCTCTCTCATTCATCTCTCTCTCTCTCTCGTTCTCTCTCATTTTATTTTATTTCAACTTTATCTTGTAAGTTTACGAAGTAAATTCTATGAAATCGATCGATGTTTTACGATACCAGAGAGGATATCTTTGATGATGATCATCGGTTGGAATATTATATATTCTCTTTCCTTATTTTTAAATTTTTCTTTTTMTTTTCTTTTCTTTTTTTTTATCGAACGTTATTATTTATTTATCGTGTCTTGTGAAATAATTGGACGGTAATAAAATATAAATAATTGCACACACACATATCTTCCTATTATTATACCAATCAAATAATATCATATGTATATGTATATATTTATCAGAAAAGAATTTTTCATATCAAATAAATCAAAAAAAAAAATTCTAACAAATTGATACAGTTCTAAAAATATATAAAATTATTATATACATATATTTAAATATAAATTTTATAAAATACAATTCTCTTTTTTAAAAGTATAATCACAAATCAAAACTCGTTGAAAATCTTTTACTTTAATCGTTAAACTTGCCAGAAAAAGTTTGCAATTGTATATAAGTTGCAAATAATAATAATAATTCATTAATATTTCAAATAATTAATCAAATAACTTTTGACCATAATTTCCACAAAAGCAAATAAACTATAATTCTTATAAAATAAATTACAAACACACACACACACCCAATAATATATAAAATAATAAATGATCAATTAATTAAAACAAAAAGGATGATAACAAAATTACAAAATTAAATTAAATTAAATTAAATTAAATTAAATTAAAAAAAAAAAAAATACAAAGAAAGAAAGGAAGATAAATAAATAAACAATAATAGTTGATCGTTGACTCGATTCAAAGTTCTTCTCGGTCGATCGCATAAATTAATTGTATGTACAACCGGCCGGTATGCACGACCATAACTCGATCACGATCTTCCCCCCCCCCACCCTGCCCCACCCCCTCTCTCTATTCTCTCCTCTCCTCTCCTCTCCTACCCCTTCTGCAACATCCTATCTTTCTCTTTCTCATTTTGATTCGTTGTATTTTTCTTTCTTTCTTTCTTTCCTTCTTTCTTTCTTTCTCTCTTGTTCGAGAAGTGAAGATCCATCGTCCGGAGGGAGAGAAACCATCTTCGGAAGTAAGACGACCGGTTTTCTCAATGCGATGCGATCTTTGCCCGAGTCGAAGGCTACCGAAGCGAGGAAGTCAACCACCTACTACGGTTGGGGTGGGAAGAGAGGGAGATGAAGAGGGGAAGAGGGGGAGGGGGTGGATGCATTCTCCAATCGCTTAAGGATCTAATTTGCGTTACCGATCTCTTCCGAGTTTAGATAACATCGCCAAAGAATCCTTCTCAACATTCCTAATCCGACACACACACACACACACATACATACACACATACATTTTACTTTCATCCTTTTCATATATATGCAATACAACGTCACAACAAATTTGAAATCAATTTTTCCATGTATCCTTTTCAATTGTCACACAAATTCCTAATCCGACACACACACACACACATACACACATACATTTTACTTTCATCCTTTTCCTATATATGCAATACAACGTCACAACTCAAATTTGAAATCAATTTTTGCCATGTATCCTTTTTCAATTGTCACACAAATTTTATTTTATTATTTTCTATTTTAATTTAATTTACCTAATTGTCAAGTGTGGTTGTTAAAATTTAATTTGAAATTAAAATGTTTTGGTATTGTGATCTCTGACATTTGAATACGCTATCTGGTGGTTAAATTCAAAATTAGAGTAGATAGGTAGAGTTGCTACGCCACGCCTCCTCCCTCTACCAAAGATCCCAATATAGTTTTATATATACAATAAATAAATTAAAAACAAAATTGAATGATTTCCTATAAATTAGGATACGATAATTATTGATAAATGTAATTTGGAGTTTTGAATAAATCACATATGCAAGATCTACCCCTACACCAAGATCCCCCCTGAGACACCATGCATCCTGTTACAGATACACAATAATTGTAAGGTAAGTGTTAAAAAGAAAGGAATTCAATGGGGAAAGGAAGTATGAGAGAACAAACTGAAAAGCCCGAGAGAGGATCGTACTTCTTCTGTAGTCTAGTCCTTGGAATGCCGTCTCCTTTTCCTCCTCCTCCTCCTCCTTCTCCTCCTCCCTTCCTCCTCTTCCTTCTTACCAACTCGACTTCGACGGCAGTCCCTTCGATTGCAACGAAAACGAACGAAACGTCTACGAGAAAGAAAGAGACTAAGAAAGAGAAAGAAACATAAAGACTGTGTATGTGTGAGAAAGGTAGAAAGAAAGAAAGAAAGAAAGAAAGAAAGAGAAAGATCTCGAAAAGGAAGCCGATTAAACGAGAGAATAAGACCTTGAACACGGTCAGCCACTGTCCACTGTTCACTGACGCCATTTTGCAAATTTTATCATATCTACGAATGCTACTGGATAAACTTTAAGTATACCTTTAAACCGTTTATTACATCAATTTCTTCATATTACTAGAAAAAGAATAATTATAAAACATTTGAACTAAACGAATATTCGTTCTTAAAAATAATTGATAATTTGGTTAGTTGGTATCAGCTGCTTCTCAGTCGCCATTTTGCAAATTTTATTTTTACGAATGCTATTGAATAAACTTAAAAGATACCTTTAATCTTTTATAAAATAAATTTCTTCATATTACTAGAACAAAATAATTATAAAACATTGAAACTAAACGAATATTCGTTCTTAAAAATAATTGATAATTTGGTTAGTTGGTATCAGCTGTTTCTTAGTCGCCATCTTGCAGATTTTCTCTCCCAGCTTATAAAATTCTATTTTTTTTTACAAATTAATTGCTTAAATCTTATCAAACCGGGTATTATCAAACACTATTAACTTTTAATTTTAATTTGTTTAAACATATGACATAATTGGTGAAGTAAAAAGAGGTCGTAAGAGAAATAGAATTTAATTAGTTCTGGGGAAACAAGATTATCGATTAGAATTTGTTAGATTTTCTTATTGTTAGAGGTCGAACACACAACCCACACATCCCTTTCCTCCTCCTTCACCACCTCCCCCGCAATCCCAACCTTTTTACGCTTATTACTTTCACTTCTATGATTTCCTTAGATACATAATTTTTCATTTATCATTGTGATTTCATAGTTTTTTTTTTCTTTTTTTTTTTTTATTCAATCTTTGATTGAACTTCTCATACTTATGATGATTATGATCATTGCAATTATTTAATTGCAACGTTAAATGTCTCATAAATGAATTGGATCATTCGAAATCATTTTAAAACTAAAAATAAAAATAAATAAAAACAACGTGTGATAACCAAATGAATTAAAAAAAAAAAAATTTGATGATTTATTTGATGATGAATCAATCAAAACAATTCGTAATAAAAGTAAAATAATAGTATAATTATACAGTAATATCTTGATTGATTAATATCACCGTAAATAATTGAATGAAAAATGATTGTAAAATGGTATAATATTTAGGGAAAAAGCTTTATAAATGTGTTGCTCACCTAGAAAGTAGAACCGAAGAGACACTTTGATATTAACAGAAACACTCAGTTCTGTTTTAAACAACAGAAGCCGGAAAACAAACGGACCTGATTGCGCAGGCTTCACTTCGGAATTCTTCAATGACTCTTAATGGTTTCGTTCTCACACCCACACTCTCCTGACACTATCTACATAATATATATATATACTATATATACTTTGTGTGATATCTATTACTTTTCAAATGTTATCTATACTTAAAACAAATATATATGATTCGATCGTATTACAATATTGTGCAATGTTTTACTTCAACAATAATAATGGGTTATTAGAAAATTATTTTTCATTTGGTTCCTTCTTCTTCTTCTTCTTCTTCTTTTTCTACATTTATTTATTTAATAGAATAATAAATTGAAAAATAAAGAAACACATTAAATTAGATTTGATTGAAGTCATTGGGGCACGGTGGGATGGTTGTTTTAGTCCCATCTCGAAATGTTATTGCAATTTCTACACATACTCATAAGTTTTTATATTTTGATTGATGCAATCGAAGTTAAAAGTATATAATAGGAATTTCCGGTGATTAGAATCCTAATGTTTATGCAATTAATGCGAATGACGACCTAAATTTATAAAAACGTACATTGGAGGTACCATTTGTTTTTATTTTCTAAAATATAGTGTCAAACATATATTCATCTTTTTTCAAAACGTATTATTCATATTTAAAGAATTTCGTTTTGTCCCCCCTCTTTCTATTTGACTTCTGCAATCTTTTCTTTACGTACCACATTTTTTAATTGTTTTTTTTTTTTTGTTTTTTTTTTTTAACGAAGGTTAACATATTTGAAAATAACGAAACAATAAGCTGAATCAATGAATGAATGGTGGTTTCGTTTACAAGGAATTTCAAGGCTCAATATTCCAAGGTTCATTCTCATGTGAGTTAGTGAGTGTGTGTGTGTGTTAATTTTTTTTTCTTTTGACAACAGACTTCGAAATTAAATACAATATACATATTTAAAGTATTTACCAAAAAAAATATAAAAAAGAAAACCCTTATACAAATACAATGGTGTAGTGTAATGCAAATTTACTGATTCACCAATTTGAAGAATTTCAAGTACACGAAGTTCTATAATTTAGGATTTTGAAAAGAAACCAAATGCAAATTTGGGATTACTATTGTCTCTTTTATTTTCATTGTATTGTTTTACTTTTCCTTTCTTTCTTTCTTTCTTAAATATTTCCAATTGTCAATTGGATAAATTTGTCAATGTGATACATGTGCCTATAATTATTTGAACAATAAATGAATTTGATATAATGTTGAAATAACTAATACTATCTTTAACAATTTATTTTTGACAATATTTGACAAAATTACATTAAATTTATTTAATTTAAAATATAATAAATTCATTACGGGAACAATGGCGGGATTTGGTATTTGCGACAATGAACTTTCGAGTTCCTAATGCCAGTTAATAATAACAATAATAATAATAATAATAATAATAATATAATAAATTCATTTTTTTGTTAAATTTTGACTTATAATAAAACCACTTTCATAATTATGGGCACCTGTAACTCTGAAGTTTCACTTACAACCCTCACCCCCTTAACCCTGATGTAATTAAAACGAGAAACAAATTAATAAATAAAATAAGGAAAGAGATAACAAGATGAAAAGATGAAAAGATGGAAAAATATTTTGCAAAGGAACGAGGACAACCGGGTATACACACCCACTCAACAACGCACTTTACAAAACGCAAAGGTTACACATGATATGCATATATATATATATATGTAAATAAAGAAAGAAATAGAAATAGAGAAAGAGAAGGAGAGAGAGAGAAAGAGAGAGAGAAAGAGAGTTTGGAATAAAGACAAAGGCGTGTTAAAGGGGCGCACCCTTCCCAACGTGGAAATTTTCTATGCAAGATACAACACAACACAACACAACAAAAACAACATATACTCGAAGATAGATCGAGTAATGGTTTCCTTTCGATCGTGCCTTCGTCATTCGTGGAGTTCTACGCCCACGAGAAGAAGTCGCTCGAAGTAACTATCATAAACTATACTTCTTTCACATATACATATACATCAACACACATCACAGTTCGTGAAACGTCTAATTCAGCAAACGATACGAACAAATAAAAAAAGTATGAAAGATGATCGATATAGTATTAAGTTATATATTTTCTATTTTTTTTTCACGTGATTATTAATTAATAATTTTTCTATTTTACTATTGAAATTAATTTAAAAAATTTATTTATAAATTTATTACATCCAACTGTACTCAAAATTTCATATCAATTTAATGATGAATCTATGCAAATTTAAAATCTAACCATATAGGTTCATTTTATATTCATATTAATAATAATAATAATAATAATAATAATATAAATTAGGTTAGTTCGTAATAAGAGATAAAATATCCATTAAATCAAATCTAATCATCTAAAGAGACTTGTAATGTTAACGATCGAATCAAATTTTCTAATCGATTATTTTTTTCTTTTTTGTCACGTTGACATCGATATTTAATAAAACACAGCAAGTGACCTTTATATAATCGTTTAAAAACATATGACCGAGATTAAAGTAGATAGATAGTTATACTTAGAAAATGATTAGAATTCTTACTTACCGTTTTCGAGGTCAACCATCTTGATCTCGTTCGATTTCCTTGTGTCCTTGTTCTCTTTATCCTCTTCATCTATTTTTTTCTCTCTGTATAAAGAAGACAAATAATTATTATACATACTCCTACTACAAAACAAATCCTACAAACAAAAAAAATAGAAAAATAAAATAATTCACATTATTTGTCTATTTTTTTTTTCTTTTTTTTTCGTTCTTTGTAAAAAATTTTGTAAATTA